CCCCGGGGGAGGGAGGTGGTTGGCAAAAGCTGTGGTAAAACTCTTTGGGAAAGGAAAGGCGACGTTAACTTTGTGAATTACAAAGCCAAAAAAAGGAAATTTGTTTGCTGCTGAGCAGTGTGGTGGTGTAAATTCCCTGCTAAAGGTGACTTCTTGCCTCCTAGGGGGAAAATGTGCTTTTTCTAGTGACCAATTTCATCGCTACAGCAAAGCAAGCTCAGGGCACCTGTCCTGAGGTAAGTGAGCTGTGCTGTTCCTTAGCCTGGCACTGCAGTGGGGTTAGATTTATAAAGCCAGGCAATGCTGCTGCTCTGTAGCTGTATGGGAACTTGGAAACACCCAGTACAAGACTAGACAGAAGGGAAAAATGGGGTTTTGTTCCAAACAAAACTGATTCCACTCATTCCCATTGCTTCATAGCTCTTACTTGCTCATTTACACTTGCTGTGTCATACCTGCATGAACCATGATGTGTTACCAAGCAGTCTGGCCAGAATCACTTGTGGTCACCAGAAGGACAAGGGTACACGGTCTGTTGGGGCCTCACCAGATCTCTGGGCTTCTTGAGGGGTAGTGACACCGTATGATCTTTACAGGCTTTCTGCTGCCTTTGGACAAGGGCAGCTCTGGGGAGGTTGAGCTGTGTTGCCCCATTGCTATGCCATCTCCGTACTGTGGCTGGCATCATCACTGCCGTTGCTAGCTGGTATCTGTTACTTGTGTTCCTTTGAGTCCCACACATATTCTTGGTTTCTTCACTTGCTGCTCTGTTCTCTTACATCTGTTCTGCCATTTTTCCTGATGCTTTTACACACACTCTGGATACCTGTGTCATGTTTCCTTTATAACTCTCTGCTGCAGTACTAGTATCCTCTCCATCTTAGTGTCCTATTGTTAGGAGGAACAGAGCATGAATTCTAGGTGGTTTGCCAGTCAGCCAACACTTAGTGGTATATGCTCTCTGTTCTCCCTTTAAGGCTGGATTCAGGCCAGCTCCTCAACTGAACTCCCCCAAGCTGGACCCTGCTTGGCAGGCAGGAGTAAATGTCTTTCAAGTTAAGCCACTGCTGGCACCTTGTGCCTGAGCCAAGCACTGTTTGTCCTAATGGTCCCTTTGGCTTTTGCTGTTGCCTGCTGTGCTGTGCCCAGCTTGATCCTGCCTCATAGCTTGTCCTATGTACAGGCTGCTGGGCTGGGCTGCTCTCTAAATGCAGCCTACAGGCTGCTGGAGAGAAGGAGCAACCCTAGTTTTAGGCTGAATAAAATGGTACTAATGATCCCTCTTTAAGATGTTGAGAACTCCTAAAGTACTGATAGCTGCAGTAACGTCCCTAGGGGAAGACACGTGCTGTAGAGCGTTTCAGGGCTCTCTCAAAGGCAGTCTTGGGCATCTGTGGATGGTTATTTCTGCAGTGTGCAAGCCAAGAATACAGAGACACCAGAGCATTTCATCCCATTACAGTGCTGTCGTGTGTCTGGGTGCCTGTCACAGCCTTCACCCTGTGCTGCTCTCCAATAGTTTGAGTTCCTGGCTTTGGGGCCGTAGCCGACATTCATGTTTAGAAAGCTTTGAAGATTTAGCAGTGATAGCTTTTGACTTTGCAGGAAGTTCTGAATATTCTCAATTACCAAAGTATTCTGTGCTGGCAGACGAAGGAAAAGTCTGGTTGGGGCCAGCAGCAGTACCCGAACACAGGACAGGTTGTTTTAGCAGCTGATGTCTCTGAGTTCAGATCTGTGGCTGACTTATCTCTTAGGGAGACCTTTCAGTGTTGATCTCAAATACTTTGGGTGGTTGGAAACCCTCTGCCTCTATTTGCAAGGCACTCTGAAGGTTAATGAAGGTGATCAAAATAGACTTAGAGCCAGAAGACATAAGTCAGACAGTGCATCCACTCTGTCCAGATACAAGCTCTGGGGCTAAGGGACCATTTCACTTAAGCTACAGTCTTTAGCACATACAGTTGTGCTCCGCTCTTACAGGTCTAGATGCTGCTGATGGATGCGCATGTGAGCGGCACAGGATCGTGTCTTAAGGGGGTGAGGGGAGTGTTAGATTTTAGGAGAAGCCTCATCCTTTTTTGCTCGCATGTGATGCTACTGGTGGTTAGCTCTGCAGGAAGGTTCACTTTGCTTCCTGGCCCCTGGTATGTGACTGCATAGCTGTTGAGGGCTGGGAATCAGCAATTGTTTCTAATAAGATTAAGAATAAAGCAATTATCTACCCGCATATTTGTGACTACAGAAAGTAAATATAAACCTTTCAGCTGTGAGGTTCCTAGAATTTATGCGCAGATCTCTGCTGACAGCACAAGCACCTCTTTGCTGCATCTGTCTGAAATTACCCCTATCCCACGAACACAAATGCTATGAACTCTGAGCAGCATCTGAGCTCTGCTGTGAGCACCTTGAGGGATGTCTTCTAAAAATGTGTAGTAGTTCACCTGCTTATCAAGAAACCTGTTCTAAATGCTGGTGTGCTCATATTCCTGACCCATCCCAAACCTGCAGTTCTTGGGTAGGTTTCTAGAAAAATTTGTTACTCCCTAATTTTCCCAAGCTTTTAGACCTTTACACAACCAAGATGCATCAGTGGTTTAGAGAGCTTTAGGAGCACAGATACAGGGTCCCATAAGGGCTTTTAACTGAATCTAGATCTCTTTGCTTCTCTGGCAATGCACTTGTGGCACATGTAACCTGGTTTGGACCATGCCTGTGGAGAATGTTGGTACCAACAGATATTTCAAGGCTCGTTTCCACTAAAAGGTGATAGGGAAGGTTGAAACCTTCTTGGCCAGGTTTTAGGTCTTCTGTAACCCCATCACAGACTTTAGTACCTGAATTTCTCCCAAGCTTTGTGGCTTGCATGCCCTGAACACCCAGAAGCGTCTGTCTGCCAAGTGGCACTTGTCATGTGTCTTGTTACCTGGACTTGGAAAGGGACTGATACACTCATCTGCAAATATCTGTTGTCTGGGTCCTGAAGGCTGAATCCTTGACATCTGATTTGGATCCAGGATGACAAAGTGCTCTCATAAGTGTTTATTACAGCATTGCAGGTGGATGCTGCATGCTATGAGTGGGCCATCACTGGGGGTGTGAGGGTCATGAATCTGGTAGCCACCCTTCTCTGGCACTCGGGCAGGACTCCCTGGTCCCTCTGGTAGTCCTGTGGGCTCACCCTTAGATACCCTGCTTTGCTCCCAGGCCACCACCTCCCTGGCTCATCCAGCCCAACATTTGCTGTGAATCACATGTTCACCTGCATTCGCAACAGCTGGCACAGGCCCCTGTGACAACTGGTGGTCCCACTCCAGCTGCTGGCACTCAGACCCCCATACACACAATGTGCATACAGAATAGAGCTCCTCATCCAGGAAAATAGTTAGAAATGGAGTTTAGTCTGAAGACAGGACAGACTGTGCTGATGAGGTGCAGGGTGTGGGTGGACCAGTGTACGGACCAGCCAGCTCTGTACATGCAGCCAGTCATTTGCATCCTTTTATCCCTCTCTTTTCCAATGTTTGTTCCTTCTCAGATCACCTAGATCCCTCCTTTTCCATGCCGTTTCTTCCTCCCCAATCATCCCATCCCCTAAGTGTCCTGTGCAATCTCAAAATGCTCTTCTTCTGCATCCCATACCCCTAGGCCCCACCCAGCCCAAAGGTGCTTCAGAGAGCTGCTCCTCTTGGCATGTTATAGTGAGTTTCACACCTGGAACAAGGGGCTGAGTCTGTCGTGGGAGGGCCTGGACAGACCCCCCTGCTTCTTATGACTCCATAACTGGGGTTTCCCCACCTGCCTTCGAGCCTCTGTGCCCCTCTGAGCTTGGGGAGGTGGGTTTCTGACGGACTGATGACTCGTGTGATGGCCTGGGAGTAGCTGGGGAAGGGTGTTACTTGTATTCCCCCACCTGCCATCATCTCTCTGTGTTTGAATAGGAGCTTTTTGTTGCTTCTGGCAATCAGGTGGGCCCAGAGTGAAGGTGAAGCTTTCCGTGTGTCTTGTAAAACTTGTGTTATGCTGTATTTAGGGTCTCTTCAGCTCTTTCTCTGGGAAATTGTGGTGGTGCTTTACCAGGTGCTTAATGGGCTCTGCCATTAAGGCCCTCCTAAACCCAACTGTGCTTGTTCCCAGTCCCAGCTGAAAGGTCCAAGCTAGCTCCTGAGGCTTCCTCTGCCTCCAAGGTGGAGGAGGCGAGCACCCCAGACAGTGTGGAGACAGGTGAGAAGGATTGCCCCTTGGAGATGCCTCTCTCCTTGCTGGCTGGAGGCTGCCCAGGTTCTGGACATGGTGGATGTCTTCTGTAAGTGTTTGGGATGTGCTTGGAGAAACAGGAGAGCAGTGCAGAAATGTGGGTGACTGCTTGGCCGCAGGCGGCTGTGCAGCACAGTGACAACACTTCTCTCTGTCTCTCTCAGAGTCCCTCTGTTCTTGATGCGATGTGCACAGAAGATGCAGACTGTCCCATGGGAAACCCAGTGGTTCATGGCAATGGTACTGGGTGTTTTGCTAAAAAAACATAAAATCACTTAATTCCTCGTGTTTGGTAGCAAACGGATGCACAAAGGTGCCTGATTTCAGCGATCCTTGTAAGTGTGCATGGAAGCGCTCCCCAGCCATTTATTCTTGGCAAAACTTTACAGTGACCTGTCACAGCTGGATGAGCAGGTGCAGGCACAAGGTGCTGTCACAGCAAATACAGGGGTGCTTTGTTTCTGATGTTGGCTGCTGGAATTGAAATCTGCCCTGTGATTGGCAGGTTTTCCTTTTGTAATAAAACCTGGCTTTTATTTCATGCTGATTAATATGAGCAACCCATGTGAGTTCAGCTGGAAAAGGATATTTCAGCTTAGGAGGTCAGTTGCCAAAGCTTTGTATGCAGGTGTTGTTGTTTAGCCCCAATCAGCAACTAAGCACCATGCAGCTGCTTGCTCACAGACTCCCCCTGCCCCGGTGGGATGAGGGAGAGACTTGGAGGAGTAAGAGTGAGAAAACTCCTGGGTTGAGATAAGAACAGTTTAATAATTGAAATAAAGTAAAATAGTAATGATAATAATAACAATATAATAATAGTAATAATAATATACAAAGCAAGTGATGCACAATGCAATTGCTCACCATCTGCCAACTGATACCCAGCCAGTTCCCAAGTAGTGATCGCTGCCCCCCAGTCAGCTCCCTGCAGCTTATATACTGAGCATGATGTCATATGGTATGAAATAGCCCTTTGATCAGTTTGGATCAACTATTCTGGCTGTGCCCCCTCCCAGTTTCTTGTGCACCTGGCAGAGCATGGGAAGCTGAAAAGTCCTTGACTAGCATAAACAGTACTTAGCAACAACTAAAAACATCAGTGTGTTATCAACATTCTTCTCCTACTAAATCCAAAACACAGCACTATGCCAGCTACTAGGAAGAAAATTAACTCTATCCCAGCCGAAACCAGGACAGCAGGATTGCCCCAGCTTGTTGTCCCACCCGGGGAGCGGGTGGCTTCAGCAGCCACAGGGCAGGAGAGGCTGCGCTGGACAGACAGGCGCTGACAGCAGCAAGCAGCTTTTTGTCTGTAAAACAGCTCCTGTCGTTTGGCCTTGAGGGAATGTTTCATAGGGAAGCTGTTGGGTGGGGAAAACACTGAAGATGATCCTAGGGTTGTCTTTGTGGCTCAGGTTTTGAGGCCAGAACAAGCCTGTGGCCAGGGCTCTATCCCAGGAGGGGAGCTGCAGAGAAGGTGTTTCAAAACAGAGTAGTAAATTTTATATATTGTCTCATTTCTAGGGATAAAAACTGGGAAATGTGTGATGTTCAACACCACCCATTCGACCTGTGAGATCTATGGTTGGTGTCCTGTGGAGAACAACACCCTGCCCAGGTAAAGCACAGCGTAAGGGGACAGCAGGCTTTGAGAGCTTCGGTTCCTTCCTGCTGTGCTCTGTGTAACCAGGGGCCTGATCATACTTGCCTGGGGGGCAGCCAGGCTCAGGGAGATCTTTTACATTGATCTTCTGGTCAGTTAAGCCCAGAGGACTTCACACAAGCATTTCTTGCAACTGTCCACTGTAGCCAAAGTCCTGGGAATGTGGAATAGACTGCAGAGCAAGGGGAATGGGGATGTGCTTTGGCTGCTGTGAAAAATTTGAGTTTGTTGGTGGTTGTTTTCCAGGAAACCTCTTCTGGCTGAGGCGGAAAATTTCACTCTTTTCATAAAAAATACTGTCCACTTCACTAAATTTAACTTCTCCAAGTAAGTATGACACTCCTCCAGTGGGACTGTGCATACAGCCTAGTCTAGCCTCTGCGCTGAGCTTGTCTGCCTAGGGGCTGAGCAGCTGAGGCATCTAAGAAGCCATGTGCCATCTGTGACAGGTGGTGGCTCAGGCAGTTATGGTTCAGGACGGTGTGTTCAGGAGAATGCTGGTCACTTCAGTGGCACCTGTATTTGCAGATGTAAGAGCAATGGGATGGGGAGCCCTCAGAGAGAGGGACTGGTGTCTGCCTGTCTAGAGCACTGCAGGCAGAACTGGACAAGGCCAGTCATTCCCAAGGTCTCATTTTACACCATATATTTTTGCATTTTAGTCCCTGCAAAATGGTTTCACAGAGGCCCAGTAAAGGGCTGCACTGGCCTCACAGCCCAAGGCATGCTGACTGTCATGTGTACTCTGGCAGGAGACATGGCTTGGGGCAGCTGAACTGGCCCTGCTGTCACACCTAGAGCCCTAACTCAAGCTGGGTCATTACATCTTACAGCGGTGGAAGCTAGGTGCCAGGAAAGAAAGGAGAAGCATAAAGGCAGAGGTGGAGGAGAGGAGCTGAGAGGGGAAGGGCCATGGCAGGTGCTGTAAAGGATGATAACTCCACATGTGATTCCTCTGGGCCTCTGGTTTCCCTCTACCCTCTCTCCAGCTGAGGCTTTAGGAGAGGCAATGATTATCTCCCCCCAAAGCAGGAGTGTTAGTTGGTCCCATTCCAGTGGGAGGGTCTCCTTTTCAGTCCTGCAGCAGGGCTCCCTGTCCTCCCACACCCCACTCCACCCGTGACAGCTCCCCCTCTCTCTCCCCTGTCTCAGGTGCAACACTTTGCAAACCAATGACCCCACCTATTTCAAGAGCTGCACTTACGATCTGTTCTTCAACCCCTCCTGCCCTGTCTTCCGTGTCCGTGACATGGTGGAGGCAGCTGGAGAGACCTTTGGAGGCCTTGCACTGCTGGTACTTTTTTTTTTTTTTTTTTTTTTAAAA